CACACGGTCCCCCTATCATTGGGTGAAGCCCTACTAGCCCTACCATGGCGGGGGGGGGGGGGGCCCAGGTGTTCCCAGTACCCCCGTGTCTGAGCAGCACTGCATCCTCAGGCCCTTGAACTAAATCACTGGCCGAGTGGGCTGAGAATCATCTGTGGAAGCTCCAATGTCCTGAGTACCTTTGAGAGTCTCCCCCCATCAACAAAAAGACATAACAAAGGGAAGAGAAGAGAAAAAGAACCCTCCTAGATCATCTACAAAGCTACCAGATATAGCACAGCGGTAGGGCGTTCGCCTTACAAGCGGCCAACATGGCCGACCCGAGTTCGATTCCTCCGCCCCTCTCGGAGAGCCCGGCAAGCTACCGAGAGTATCTCGCCCGCACGGCAGAGCCTGGCAAGCTCCCCGTGACGTATTCAATATGCCAGACACAGTAACAACAAAGTCTCCAATGGAGATGTTACTGGGCCCGCTCGAGCAAATCGACGATCAATGGGAGGGCCTTTACCTTTATTTTATCATTTATTTTTTTTAAATGTAGGAGCGATAGCACAGCAGGTAGGGCGTTTGCCTTGCACGAGGCCAACCTGGCCGACCCGAGTTCGATTCCTCCGACCCTCTCGGAGAGCCTGGCAAGCTACCGAAAGTATCTAGCCTGAACAGCAAAACCTGGCAAGCTACCTGTGACATATTCGATATGCCAAACACAGTAACAAGTTTCGCAATGTTACTGGGCCCGCTCGAGCAAATCGATGAACAACGGGAGGACAGTGACAGGAGTAATGCTATTTATTCAGCCATTAATTAGACTGATGACTTGGGCATGAATTCCACATTGTTTTTTTAACTGAATCGCCATGAGTTATAGTTCAAAGCAGAAATAAAAGCTACCAGATATTTTAGCAAAGCTGAAGAATACCAGATATATCAGATAAAAATAAATTATACTGCAGAGAACCTAAATTTTCTCTTAAAAATTAAGTGTATTTAAAGTGCATTTATTTAAAAAAATGTATTTAAAGTGTATTCGGTCATTCAATGGGATTTGGGTTATTTTTACTTTGGGGCATTATGAATAATGCTGTTTTAAAGTCTTTGTGTGGAGAAATATTTTAATTTCTTCTGGGCAAGTACCTGAATTGGAACTGCTGGATCATATAAGCCTACGCTTAAGTTTTTTCTTTTTACGAGGGGCCAAGGGGGCACACCCAGCAGTGCTCAAGGATTGGTTCCAATTGTGCTTGGGAGCCATGTGACACTAGAGATTAAACCAGGGTTGGCTGAATGCATGGCAAGCACCTTAACCCATTAACTATTTCCAGTCATATATTTAACCTTTTTTTTTCTTTTGGGGTCAAACCTGGCGATGCACAGGTGTTACTCCTGGTTCTGCACTCAGGAATTACTCCTGGTGGTGCTCGGGGGACCGTATGGGATGCTGGGAATCGAACCCAGTCTGACCGCGTGCAACGCAAATGCCCTACCCGCTGTGCTGGACTCTTTTTCATAGTGGCTACAGCATGTTAAATTCCCATTAAATTATATTCCCATTAATACAGTTCCATTTCAGAGTTATAATTTCTTCATATCCTGAGTATGGATTATGGATTGTCTTTTTTTATTTTTCTAGTTTGTAAGAAATGTTATTTTGTGCTGAATTTGATTTCAACTTTCTTAATGACTAATGTTTTTTAAATATTTATTATTCATCTTTATTACTGGGCCCACTCGAGGAAATCGATGAACAACGAGAGGACAGTGATATCTTCTTCTAAGAAAGAACTATTCAAATCCTTTGCCATTAAAATTAGATATATTTACATAATTTTGTTAATTGGGGTCACACCCAGTGATGCTCAGGGGTTACTCCTGGCTCTGCATTCAGGAATTACTCCTGGCAGTGCTTGGGGTCTATAAGGAATACTGGGGATTGAACCCAGTCAGCTGCATGCAAGGCAAATGCCCTACCCATTGTACTACCACTCCGGCCCAAAATTAGAATTTTTTTTTAAGCCCATTTTAGGTTCACACAAAACTGAATGGAAAGTACAAACTTCCCATATACTCCTTGCCTCTATCCCTCACTGCCCTCCCCACACCCCCACTCTCAACACCTCCCCCCTCCAATTTATAACCATAGAACCTACATTGATACAGCAGTCACCCATTCACAGCTTACCAAAAATAAGCTTAGCATTGTGCATTTACTCAACACACAATGGCAGGTAGCTATCATTTTACAAAATAACTTTACTACCCTAAAAATCCTCTTGCTATACTTAAACATTCTCCCTTCTTGTGATCAGTCCCTGAAAGTAATCTTTTTATTGTTTCCACAGTTTTACCTTCTTCAAGTATGTCAAGAATGTCAAGTATTTCACATATGGAATGGACAGCATGAAGCCTTTCAGACTGGCCCTTTAAAATTATATAAAACTTAGTAATATCCATTTAAGCTTCCTCCATGTGTCTCTTCACAGCATGCACATTCATTTCTTTCTAAATCTGAAGAATATTCGATTATCTGAGGGGTAGAACCAAATTTATTTATCCATTCACATACTGAAGAACTTCTTGGTTGCATCCAAGTTTTGGCAATCAGGGAATAAGGCTGTCATAAACATCTGCATGCAGATTTCTGTGTGCACGTAAGTATTCATTTGGATAATACCAAGGAACGTGTTGCTCAGTCATGTGGTAAAAAGTATATTTAGTTTTATAAGAAACAGTTATCCAAGAGTGGCTGGATGATTTTGTGTTCCTGCCAGTAGTGAATAAATCAATCCTCATTTTTATGTCACCTTTGCTCATTTTTAACTGGGCTATGTCTTATTATTATTGAATTTTTAAGTCTTTTATATATTCTAAATATAAGAAAATGTTTCTTTCAGTTTGTGGGTTTTCACTTGAGGTGGGGATCATACCTAGCTGTGCGCAGGGTTTACTCCTGGCTCTGCACTCAATGATCATGCCTGGAGGAGGCCGGTCTGGGGAGACATCTGGGGTCCCTGGGATCAAACTCCAGTCATTGCATGCAAGGCAAGTTCCTTACCTGGTCCTGTATACACTGTTTTAGAGGCCTTTTTTGAAAATAAAAAGGAGAGGGCCAGAAAAATAGTATACCAGGTAAGGCACTTGCCTTGCACACAGTTGACCTGTATGATCCCCAGCACCCTATATGGTTCCCTAAGCCCTGCCAAGAGTAGTTCCTAAGCACAGAGCCAGGAGTCAGTCCTGAGTACCGCCAGGTGTATCCCTGTCACTGTCACTGTCCTCCCGTTGTTCACTGATTTTCTCGAGCGGGCCCAGTAACATCTCCATTGTGAGACTCGTTGTTACTGTGTTTGGCATATAGAATACGTCACAGGCAGCTTGCCAGGCTTTGCCATGCAGGCGAGATACTCTTAGTAGCTTGAGGGGCAGAGGAATCGAACACGGGTCGGCCATGTTGGCTGCGTGCAAGGCAAACGCCCTACCCGCTGTGCTATTGCTCCAGCCCCTGCATGTGTTCTTTTAACGGCAAACGCAAATGTACAAAAACACAGAAGCACAAAAGAAAAGGGAGAAATCCATTTGGGGGGGCAGTGTTGGGACCCCAAAATACAAATTTTCATAAGTTATCCCAGCTCGTTGCTCCTGGATGGAACCCCGCAAATCCTGTGCTCCAGCACTTCGGGGGTGGGGGTCACCCCGCTGGCCATAAACTCTGATTTCTTTCTTTTTCTTTTTCTTTTTTGCTTTTTGGGTCACACCCAGCCATGCACAGGGGTTATTCCTGACTCACGCACTCAGGAATTACTCCTGGCCGTGCTCCGGGAACCATATGGGATGCTGGGAATCGAACCCGGGTCGGGCTGCGTGCAAGGAAAACGCCCTCCCTGCTGTGCCACCACTTTACCCCCCTAAACTCTGATTTCTGACCCTTTAAGGAGAAGGCAAAAATGCGGTTGCACTGCGGGCTGCGGAACCAGCGCTAAGTCCGGCCCTGCCCGTTCTGTCACATATGTCACCTATCACGCGTCACACGTGTAACCTGTGACCTGTGTCCCCAGTCACACATTACACCTATCACACGTCACGTCTGTGAACCCGTGTCCCTGTCACACCTGCTGTCACCTGCGCTTCCGCGAAAGTCCGAAACGGGAAGTCGGTTGGGGGGAGGGGGGTGCCCCTGAATTACCACAACAGGTGACCCCCAACTCGACCGCACCTCGGCTCCTTTCCCGAAGACTCGGGGCTCACGGGACGAACCTGAAGCAGCAAATTCGGGGTCCGACAAATATTTCGGGGTCTGGGGGGCCTGACGGTGTTTTCCTCCTTCACACTTTTTTTTTCTTTTTTCTTTTTTTTTTTTTTGCTCTCCGGGGTGTTCTGACGAGACCCGAGAAGAGCCCCTCTCCGGCTCCCCCTCAGCGCCAAGGGTCGGGGCTTCCACAGAGACCGCGGGTTGGGACCGGAGAAAGTTCCAGAACCTACCTCCCCAGCACGTGGAGAAGCGTCCAGAAGTTCCTCGACTTCGGAAGAGTTTTTTGGTCTGTGAGGTCGGGAGGGGGTGTTTGGGGGTTCGAAACTGGAGCAGCGCAAAGCGCCACAACACCACATCCTTTCCCGCCCCCGGCGCCATGCTCGGCCTCAGCACGCGTCCTGCGAAGCTGGACTCGGGGCCGCGAGTCCCCCACACGCCACCTGAGGGGCGTGTGAGGTGCCCGGCGGCGGCGGGAGCGACGCGAGCGAAGGCAGAGACTGGTCGGGCGACCCGGCGCTCCCCAGCCTGACGTCCGCGCGCCCCCTGGCGGCGAGTCCTCGCGACCCACGGCCGATCTCGCGGTCTCGCGAAGGGGCGTGCGCGGTTTTCGCCTGCGAGAGCAAGGCCTCCCCGCCAATCAGAGAGCCTCAGCAAACTCTCCTCCCGCCCATCCCCGGCTCTGGGGGCGTGGCTTTCCATTTCAGCCAATAGGAAGGGACGTTCGCCCTTCGCCCGCACTCGCGAGGTTAAAAAAAGGGGCGGGGACTGGGACGAGGTTTCTCGAGCAAGATGGCGGCGAGCGGCCTCCGCCGGGCCGCTGCGGGGACCGGCACCGCGGTGAAGCCCATTTTCAGCCGGGACATGAACGAGGCCAAGCGGAGGGTGCGCGAGCTCTACCGAGCCTGGTATCGGGAGGTGCCGAACACCGGTGAGAGGCAGCGGCGCACTCGGGCCCCCCGCCGGGGGCAGCTTGCCCAAGGTCGCCGCCGTCCCGGCCGCCCGTTTCTCCCGGGTCCAGCCGAGGTCACCAGCTGGGGCAGAGACGCCTCCGGGGCCCGGAGGGGAGGAGGGTCGCCCTAACCGTGGTGGATCCGTCCTAGCAGCAACCCTGGGGGTGGGTCAGACCAGCGGGGTCCCACCTGCGAAATCGCGCGCCTCGGCGCCCACCACGGCGATTTGGAAAATCGCTTGACAACCCCCCCCGCATTTTTTTTTTTTAAATCGAACCCCCTGGTCGGGAGAACAGGGACCGTCTGTGACATGCTCATTGCACAGGTGAGACAGCGGAGGCACTTGCAGGGAAAGTCAAGCGCCCCCGAACCAGCCCCGTGGTGGCTCTGGACCGCTCAGGTCAACTCGCGTGTCCCTGGAGATAACTGACCAGGAGGTCCTGCGAGCCACGTGTAGGATCTGAGCCATCATCTGGTCCCCACAACACCCGCAGAGACAGAAACAAAGGGAGGGGACTTGCCCAAGGTCATCCTGTAAGTCAGCGGGTGCCTTCCCCAGCCCCTCCCGCCCGTCTCCCAACCTTGTCCCCTAGCTGGGTCAGCGCCTGCCCCCTCCTCGTGCAAGGGATGGATGGATGGATGGATGGATGGATGGCTGTTCACCCAAAGGTTTGACCAGAACTTGCCCCATGCCGTTTCCTGTTGTATTTGATGGAAAAATTTTTAGTTAGGGGACACCCCCTCCCCGCCCCCCCCCCCACTCCCCAAATTGTCATGGGCAGTAGAGATGTCAGAGTTGGTGGATATTTGGCTGACTGGGTATTTTCACATTAGCATCCCTGCTTGTCCGAGCACAGAAAGTGTTTCTAAGCAACTGGAGTCCATGGTACCCACTCGGGGCTGTCACTTCCTGCCTTGGATGAGAGGCAGCCTGAGATGCTAGTTGCATGAATTTGATTCCAGGCCTTGCCCCTCACTAACTGTGTGTCCTTGAGCAATTTTTTTTTCTTTTTGGGTCACACCCAGCGATGCACAGGGTTTACTTGGGCTCTGCACTCAGGAATCACCCCTGGCGGTGCCCAGGGGACCCTATGCGATGCTGGGAGTCGAACCCGGGTTGGCCGTGTGCAAGGCAGACGCCCTACCCGCTGTGCTATTGCTCCAGCCCCTTGAGCAATTTATTTAGTGGTGCGTGTGCCTCTGTTTCCTCTTCTGTAAAATGAGGTTGATAACAGGACCTCCTTCAGAGACGTGAGTTATATTTGATTAGTATAACTCAGGCACTTAGGATAGGACCTGACCCTGGGGAACTTATTAAAAGGCGGTCGCTGTTCTTATTGTTCCTGTTATTTGCACGGCTTACTCTCGCAGGGGTCTTTGTCCACGCCTAACCAGTTCTTTGATGAGTGGAACTTAAACCCACAAGAGGGAACAATTGTAAGTGACCTAGTTCAGGGACTGCAAATTCACGGGCCTCAGGGAACTGGTGAATAAGTGTAGGGGTGAAGTATAGTCAGGCGAGGTACCATGGATGTGTTGGTGTGGAGGGGTGTGTAGTGACTACCCATGTGTGCACATTCATATGTTTGAAAACGGGCTGTTTGCTAAGCAGCACGCTCCTTCCTTGCAGGAAGGAGCAGCAGGTGGCGAACAGGGGAACAAATCCAGATGCAAGGGCCAGAGCAATAGAGTACACCGGGTAAAGCATCTGCCTTGCACGTGGCCAACCCCAGCACCACATGTCCCCTGGGGCCCACCAGGAGTGATCCCTGAGCCCGGAGCCAGGATTAAGCCTGAGCCCAAAAACAGAAACGTAAATTAACAGACACCCTAGATTCAGGGCTCACATTGGTAGGATGCTGGTATTAAGACATAAGGCAGGACCCACAGCGCTTCCTCAATCCCGGCAGTGGTGAGATGCTCCACTCTGGGACTCCTGCTCCTTTGCATTGCTTCTCTGTCTGCACCTACTCCTTGGTTTGCTCTTTTCTGAAATTCCTGATAAATAGCGGTGGTGGCCCTGCCAGCTCTCTGGGGAGAAACCTGGCATCGCAGTGCTCAGTATTCCCATGGTGCGAGCAGTCCCACCACCACCCAGGTACAGGTCCCAGAGTGGGAGCCGCTTGCTGGGTGCCTTGTCCTGAGAGAGTGAAGACTCCTGTCTCTGCGAGCAGTTCCCTGCAAGCCAGGAGGTCAGTTCTAGTGGTCTTCTGTTCTGGCTTATGGCCTAGTAAGTGCCGGTAGGTGTGTACTCAAGAGTCCAGCTTTAATTTTTGTCAATTCTGTCACTAGGCCTTCTCAGGGGCCAGAGTGAGCGCACAGCAGGGACGGTGCTTGCCTCGTACATGGTTTACCTGGCTTTGATCCTCAGCACCCCATACGCTTCCCTGAACCTGCCAAGAGTCATTCCTGAGTACCGCCAGGTGGGACCCAAAGCAAAACATAGCCCTTGTGGCTCTCCTAGTTGTGTCAGTTCTGTAGCGATGTCGAGGGAATGACCACAGCTCAGTGGGTCTCCTCCGTCCCAATCCTTGATCCAGCCCCATCCTTGTTTCCACTGCCCCCGCAGCTGAAGGGCCCCCTCTCTTCCTCTCCTGTTCTGCCCTCCCCTCCAGGCCCAGCAGGTCCAGGGAAGGTTACCAGAGGCTGGCACTACCAATGACTGAAAGCTGATTTCCCAGGATGTCTGTGTACCTGCCCCAAAGTCCCAGAATCTAAGGCACTGCTGTGGTTTTATGTTTGTGTTCGTGGATGGTTCTCCCGCCCGAGAGAACAGAGGGTCCATTGAAACGTCTTTCCATCCCCCAAGTCACCTAACAGAGTAGTTAGTAACTGCCGCTGAGACGCTGTCATGCCTGCAGGCGCTCCACCATGTCTGTCAGCTCAAAGCCTGCGTGGAGTACAGATGTTTGTCATGTTTCGACCCTGTCATCTTTTGCAAATTGTCCCACAGACTACTAACAGGGTTAATAATATTGAGTATTTCACACCGGCCACTCTTCACAAGTTCCTGTACTACCTCAGAATCGATACAAACAGCGCTGGTGTTCAGGGTACCGTGATCCTCAATTCTCAGTTATTTCATAGTTAGGCACAGAGAAGTTCGCGTTCTCAAAGCCACAGAGCAGGGAATTAAGCCAAGTGGTTTGTGTTCGTTTGGGCTTTTTGTTTTCTTTTTTGCTTTCTGAGTCACACCCAGGGCTTACTCAGGGCTTACTCCTGGCTCTGCACTCAGGAATTACTCCTGGCAGGGTGCTCCGGGGCCCTGTGGGATGCTGGGGATCAAACCTGGGTTGGCCACATGGAAAGCAAACGCTCTCCCCATTGTACTATCGCTCCAGCCCCAGTTTGTGCTCATGAACTAGACTCTCCTTGTCAAAATGCACTGGCTTCCCCAGACTGGAAGCTCTTTGGGAGCATCTGCGGCGTCCTGTGTCTTCTCAACTTCTCGAGCACCTGGCTTGGGTCCAGCTTATATTCCGTGAATGAAATGAATGACCACCTGTCTGTTCAGTGTCGAGGTACTGCGCCACTTCCTGAACACCTGAGCAGCCATGTAATCTCTGCCCTGCGTCGTGTTTTCTCTCTTAGTGCACCTATTCCAGCTGGACATCACTGTGAAGCAGGGTCGGGATAAAGTCCGAGAAATGTTTAAGAAGAACGCCCACGTCACAGACCCCAGGGTGGTGGACATGCTGGTCATTAAGGTAACTAACTGAACCACAGCCGCGTGCCGTGTCCTCTCTTTCCAGGTGGACATTTAGTCTCCCAGGTTTTAAAAGGCCCACGAGGCCAGCAAGCAGATGCTTAATTTTCAAGGAACAGCTGAATTTGGATATTATCACCTGGTTAAATAGAAAATCAGATTATTCAAGGGGGGAAAAAATTCACGTAGGGCTTGCATTTTAAAAGTAAACCAAGAGAGGGCCAGAAAGTGCAGCAGGTAAGGTGAGTGCCTTGTATGCAGCTGACCCAAGTTCGATCCCCGGCACCCCGTGTGATCCCCCAAGCCCAGCAGGAGTGATCCCTGAGCCCAGAGCCAGGAGTAAACCCCTGAGCACTGCTGGGTATGGCCTAAACAACAAAAACAAAAAAGAACTAAGCCAAGAGAGCAGCAGGAAACTCTGAACTTCTCCCGAACGTCATCCCCCAAGGGCAACAGCTTCTCCCCATTGCCAGCTTAAGAACTGCACCATGCAGGCCAGTAGTGAGTCTTCTGAAATCGGAATCAAATCTTGGGCTCTCATGAGCCACGTGAGCATCCCTAAGAATTTCAGCACGACCCGGTAAGTAACAAGAAAGGACTGTTAAGCAGAAACATAAATGAAGCCAGGCATGCAGGGCTTGCTAGTGGTCTGGAAACCTCTTAAAGCCAGTTAGCCAGAGGAGAGCCATGGGAAGGCCTCCAGATCAACATTTAGTTCAACTCCCTCATTTTCTAGATGCAGAAACTGGTCTAGGTCTGAGTATGTTCCTTTCTCTGGGCCACTCAGCAGGTCCGGGCCAGACCTGAGCAGATCCCAGAGCCCTGACCTTGTGTTGTGTCCCTTCCATTGACCACTTGTCCCCCCCCACATGTGCAGGGAAAGATGGAACTGGAGGAAACGATTAAAGTGTGGAAGCAGCGGACACACGTTATGCGGTTCTTCCATGAAACAGAAACGCCGAGGCCAAAGGATTTCCTGTCCAAGTTCTACATTGGCCACGACCCGTGAAGTCTCCGTGGAGAGATGCATGTTGCTATTTAAGTACTTTAGAGCACAAATAAACCCAGTCTGTGATGGTCACTCTGTGGTAGCGCTACATTGGAGAACCAAATGGATGCGCCCCGCCTGCAGGCTTTCTAGTTTTTTGCCAGAACAAGTGGGGTCTTCATATACACACCACCTGTTCTTCCCTGTAAATTAGATTCCCTCTTCTCGGAGCTTTACATGTGGGTAAACAGGAAGGGTAAGGCCATCTGCTCAGAAACTGTCACGCTGGGTTTAATAAGCTCGGCTGCCTCTGACTTTGCTAACTTCACCGGCTTTCTACAGCCTCCGGGATTGGAGAGCTTGGCACTACAGCACAGTTCGCCCCAATCAGCCAGCTCTCGCTGTCCAGAGGGTCAGAGGCACAGACCCAGAGGTGGGCTGACACGCCGCACGGGCCCTTCCCTGATTGCTGAGAGAATGGCTCCGGAAGGCCTTGCCCTGCAACCTGTAGCAAGTGCCTGTCCTTAAAATGAACTAGTCAGGTGAGAGCTCTATGCTGTACACAACGTTGCTGATGTTTTTACAAACTGAGGTGTAGCATTATGACAAAATACTTTTTTTTTTTGCTTTTTGGGTCACACCCAGCAATGCATAGGAAAGAGAGATAGATTACTCCTGGCTTTGCACTCAGGAATTACTCCTGGTGGTGCTTGGGGGACCCTATGGGATGCTGGTAATTGAACCAAGGTTGGCTGTGTACAAGCGCCCTACCTGCTGTACTATCACTTCAGCCCCAACAGAATAGACCAAAAAAAATTTTTTTGGGGGGTGGTCATAGTTGGTCACACCTGGCAATGCTCAGGGGTTACTCCTGGTGGTGCTTAGGGGACCAGATGGGATGTCGAGGATCAGACCCCAGTCGGTTGCATGCAAGGCAAATGCCCTCCCTGCTATAATCTTGACCAAAGTTAACTTGATCTGTTTCTTTTGGATCAGTTTCGCTTTCTTTCCCTGGATCATGTAAATGCTTAAGAAAGGGACTCATTCCAGAGGTGCCATCATCTGACAAATTCCAAAAGCTTTAGTACAATAACTCATATATTGTTTTTTTTTATTGAAGAGACTCAGATTTATTGGTTCTTTTATAGGCCACAGCTGTCCGTGGGGATGATCCTGGTGGGGTTTGGGGCACCATATTTCAGTACTGAGGCCAGCTACATGAAAAGCCAGTGCTTAACTCCAGTACTACCTCTGTGTCCTGAAGGGACCCAATTTTAAAAATTCAAATAATGACCTTCCTCAGAATTTTTTAGTTATCAAAACTCCTTATGACTGGCATGTAATAACTAACCAGTGTTGCTCAACACGCAAAAAAGTTAGCTTTGGGGCCGGAGCTATAACACAGTAGCTAGGGCACTTGCTTTACTTGCAGCAGACCAGGTTCGATTCCCTGGCACCCATATGGTCCCCTAAGTCCTGCGAGGAGTGATCCCTCCGCAGTCAGGAGAAGAGCCCTGAGCACTGCTGGGTGTGGCAAAAAAAAAAAAAAACAATTTTAAAAAGCGCATGTAGTTTTAGTGAGGGGAAAATGTTAAGAGTAGTTTCCGGGCCCCCATATTTCTCTCTGTGGCTTCGTACAGGGCCCTGGAGATAGAGGTTACAAGTCAAAGTTCTCTGTTCAGATAGTAAAGAACAGGACGAGACCGGTAACCAGAGCCTTGAGCTGAGAAATCAGCCATCACTCAGTCTACACGGCTGATATTTATTATGTTTATTTATAATCTGATGGCGTTCAGAGGACAGCACAGCTCAGGGAACCTCACAGGCCCTATGGATCTGGGGTGTGGTCACAGACCATGCATGAGGCGTCACTGATTTGAAGGAGAGGCTGTGAGCATCAGCATTTCTTCAGGAACTGAGGGCTTCTGTCTTCCTGTACCTCTTCCATGCCCTAAAAGAAGGAAAGCAGCAGTGAATGAACGAAGCAACAGAACAGTCCTGTCCACACCCTAGAGGGCAGCAGGAACAGTCCTGTCCACATCCTAGGGCAACAGAACAGTACTCCGTCCACATGCTAGAGGAATCCCACTGTAGTTTTACCACACAAGGCAGGAAAATGGTTTGGGGCATATTTTCATTCATTTCCTGAATACTCATCAGATTCAATCCCCAGCATCCCACATGGTCCCCCAAACACTGCCAGATGTAGCCCAAAAGAAAAAAAGAAAAGGCTTCCTGGACCAGAGAGTATAGGGCTTATGTCTTACATATAGATGACTCAGGATTGATCCCCTGCTCACATAGTCCACAGACACCACCGGGTGCTGCCCTGGAGGCTTCCCTACCCCCTCTGGCACAGCCAGGGTGACCCCAGCGTAATACCTGGCACCACAGGACCTGAGCTGCACTGCATCCTTGGACCCCCTCACTGCCCGGTTGGCCGAGAACTCCGGAGGGGCCCTCGGGCCTCCTGATCATTGCTTATGAGGCCCAATAAATAAAGTCCTAAAAAGAAAGCCTGATTTAAGAGGGAAAAGAACAACCTTCCAGTTAGGAGGAACAACGAAGCCATGCTTCAAGTTGGGTAACAGCGTAATCTGGAACTGGAGAGAAAGTCTAATAGGGAAGCTGCCTGCACTGTACACGGCGGACCTGGGTTCGCTCCCCAGCCCAGCACAGGGTTCCTCGGAGCCTGAGATAGAGCCAGAGTAAACCTTGGGCACTGCCAAGTGTGGCCCCAAAACAAATAAATGGAGTGTAATTCAAGAAATAGTGAATTCCGGGAGAGGTTTGTGGTTGGGAGTGTAGATGGTAGGTGTGGTCAGCCTTGAGTGCCAGATTAATCATGGGGTTTTATTGACTAGCAATGCGTCAAGCGCTTATCAGAGCACCAGAAGTCAGCACAAGCAAGCTGACACTGGCTCTGGGTGCAGGTGAAAAGTCTTCTGGAGCTAGGCTATGGCGCCTGTGTGCAGACTACTTGTGCAGAGCTTAGAAATCAAAAAGAGGGCTGGAGCGATAGCACAACGGGTACTAACTGACCCAGGTTTGATTGTCGGCATCCCATAGGGTCTCCCAGCACCACCAGGAGTAATTCCTGAGTGCAGAGTCAGGAGCAACCCCTGAGCACCGCTGGGTGTGACCCAAAAAGCAAAAAAAAAAAAAAAAAAAAAATCAAAACCAATGAGTGAAAGCAGCCAGAGGGAGAGGAACAGACTCAGAATGACCTCTCTCATATATGGGACAGGAAAAAACCTCGTAGGGGAATATCACATGCCCAATGGCAATGAAAATAATGAGCAAGAGAACGGGTCTTGGAGTAGGAGTGAAGGGGACAAGTTAGGGAAGGGAACACTGGGGCAATGGGGGAAGGGAAAAGTGCCTGCCACAGAGGCAGCCCGGGGGGTGGAGGGACACGGGACACTGGTGGAGGGCAGTAGACATTGGTGAAAGGATTGGTGCTGGGATGATATACACCTGAAACTCGATCGTTAATATCTTTGTGAATTTGTAATTCAAGGTGATTCAAAGGTAAAGGCCCTCCCGTTGATCGTCGATTTGCTCGAGCGGGCCCAGTAACGTCTCCATTGGAGACTTTGTTGTTACTGTGTCTGGCATATCGAATACTCTCGGTAGCTTGCCGGGCTCTCCGAGAGGGGCGGAGGAATCGAACTCGGGTCGGCCATGTTGGCCGCTTGTAAGGCAAACGCCCTACCCGCTGTGCTATCGCTCCAGCCCTTAAGGTGATTCAATTAAAAAAGAAAAATCAGAGCCAACTGCTGAGGACTGGCAGCTTCCAAATTTTAATGCAGACCTGCTGAAATAAAGTTGTTTGCATTGGGGGTGGGAGGCACAGGGAACCACCAATGGAAATTTGAGGGTTGAGAGAAGGAGGGTTCAGAAAGACAAATGAAGAGGCTGCCAGGCTGGAAGAGATCTCAGTATGTTTGTAAGTTGGTACTTCCCCCTCCTCCAAGACAGTAAAGGCAGACCAAACGGCTGGGGTGGCGGGGATGGCTCAAAGGGCCGGAGCACACATTTTGCATGTGGGAGCCCCAGGTTTGATCCCCACAGGTAAACACATAAAAACACACCCCAAAACAGAGCAAAATATTTTTCAAGCAGGGGAAGCAACCAAACTGCATCGCAGTTGATGGGGCCGGAGTGGGGCTCGGGCTCTTGCCTGACCTGACTTCAACCCCTAGTACCCCAGATAGTCCCCCGAGCCCACAGGAGTGATCCCTGAGCACCACTGGCTGGCCCCCCCCCCCCCAGAAAAAAAACAAACTGCCACAGCTGAGAGCCTGGCACTCCACTCACAGGGGAAAGGCAACGTACCTGTTAATCATCGTCATCGTCATCCTCTGGGACAAAAATGTCATGTTCCTCAAGCAGAGCAGCAAAGTTCTTGCTAATGAGCGTCCCGACATAGAGAAAGGGGATCACGATGGAGAAGACGCGGAGCAGGCCGAAGGACATCTGCGGAGGGCCAGAGAGCAGCTGAGGCCAGCGCCCACTCGGCTAGGGCAGGAAGGCCTGGCGCTCTCGGGGCAAGCCTGCTGTGAAGCCCAGACCCGGCATAAGAAGTGATTTAAAAATCCTTGGAAACCAATTAGAAGAGGGGAAATGGTTTTATATGGTCTTAAGGTGGATACTGGAAATCAAAATAGAAGGCTTTCTAAACCTGATAGTTACTTGCAGGTACAGGAACTGCACTGCAAACGGTGCTAAGAGCTGGAACATGAAGGTGTGTTTTTACAGGTTTTTAATTAACAGTTTCCCTGGTGCCTGAGACATTTTAATTTGTCCCATTAGTTGGACATACATCTGTCTTGAAAAAACAAGTTTTCCTTAACATTTGGCTATTGCAATGGCTTGGGGGAAGTTTCAATAAAATCTCATTACTTCCTTGTATTTTCCTAGTTTCAGAGAACTTTTCCAGCTGTGCCTTTTCTAAGACAGCTTTTCCCCAACATAGACCCCGATTCTTGGGAAACCCTGAACTCCTCAGACTAATTGAGAGTATTAGGGTCTGTCTGCATTTTGCTTGGATGTATCCAAGCAAAGGTTACTGAGGGCACAAAGCATCCTGTAATGGGTCGTGCAGGGAGTCGGATTCCAGGTCCAAAGTCAGCCTCGAGACACGGGCTTCAAGACCCTGCGCACCACGCCCCCATGTATTGGGTAAAAACAGTGATTACGCTGATTCTCTGCAAACCTCTCGAAAGTGCAAAAACATAGATTTAATAGGTCAAAACATTTTTTTTAAATGGAGCTAGAGAGACAGTACAGCGGGTAGGAATCTTGAGCACCTCTAGGTGTGGTCCAAAACCAAATAAGCTCTTAAGGTCCGAGGTCCAGAAAGATAATACAGCGAGTAAGGCGTTGGCTTTGCACGCGGCTGGACCCCCAACACCACATACGGTGCCGGAGCCTGCCAGGAGAGAGCCCTGACATCAGAGCCAGAAGTGAACCCTGAGCACCCCGGGGAGTGGGGGGGGCAAAGAAAATGACATGAAGTGTCCCACGTACTCTATTTACAAACTCCTCCCATCTCATCAACTAGGGGAGACGACGCTGTGGCATGATATCTATAGCGGACGCATAAAGCCGAGTCTTGTGGCTCCGGACAAAAACATGTTCCTCAAGGGGACACTACTGCAAAATGCCACCTTGCTCGGCTCTTTCCCCTTGTTCTGTCTCCAAGCGCCCAAGCAGCGCAACGCCGGGCTCGGAACGCGACTTTTCTTTTTTTTTTCTTTCCCACCTGTCAAAGTTAGCAGCGCATTAGCGCAAAACTTTGTTTGTCCTTGATCCGGCTTCCGGTCTAAAGCAGGCGAACGATTGGCCTCTGCTCCTATCAATCAGCGCCGACCCGCGCACACGCCCCATGCGATTGGCTTCAGCCCCTTCGCCCCGCCTCCAGGCAGACACTCACTTTCACCGGTTTGGGCAAAATGGCGCCGCTGCGAGTAACGATGACTGACCTCGACGGTACCAGGCTCCGACCCGAGCCGCCCGCTCCGGCGGAGACATCTCCGACGTTCTGCAGCTTCTGCCCGCGCCGGAAAAGCCCGGACCGGACAGGTGCCAATGCCAGCCAGCGAGCCGCTCCGGACGCCATCGCGCAGCTCCGCCCCTGGCCCGGCACGGGGACGCCCACGCCCTGCCTCGGCGACGCCCTCCGGAAGAACGCCGCCCCAAGCCTCGCGAGACTTCAGGGCGGGGACGCGAGGCCCAGCCCTCGCGCTTGCGCAGTGCACACGTCGCCGGGGCGCCGGGGCAAGAGGCGGGGAATCGGAGAGCCGGCGTGGTGACGTCACACGCGGCCGCCGCAACCGCGGGCCCCGCCCCCCCGGCCGTGGTGGCTGCTGCGGAGCCCGGGTACTTGCCCTTATACTGCCCGCAATACGGTAGATGGTGGTTGCAATTTTTAGAAATCACGTTCATTGCGCCCGACAACTGTATTTTTTGTTTTTGATCCTTTTCAGATAGCGGCCAAGTTTATTCTGAACTTCTCCAACCCCCAATACTTAAATGGTTTGAAATTTCATATCCGTGACAAGGTGTGTGTTATCCATCAAGATGTGTCTGGGGGCTGCAGCGATAGCACAGCGGGGAGGGCGTATGCCCTGCACGCGGCCGACCCGGGTTCGAATCCCAGCATCGCATATGATCCCCTGAGCACTGCCAGGAGTAACCCCAGTGCATTGCTGGGTGTGATCCAAAAAGATGTGTCTGAAAGGGTGGGGATGGGGTCTTTTGTTTGTTTGTGACTCACACCCAGCGGTGCTCGTGGCTTATTCCTGGCTCTGCATTCAAGGATCATTCCTGGCGAGCTCGGGGGACCATACGGGATATCGGAGATTTAACCCCGGTCAACAGGTGCAAGGCATTGTGGCTTGCTTTCAAACCCACTGTCCCGGTGATTGCTGATACAGACTGCAACTAAAAATGAATAATAAAATCAGTTTTTATTCGTATAAAAAATACAAGATCAAAGAGCCTGTAGTGTCTGCGTATATGACAGGTGCTGTGGAGCTAAGACAACCTTCTTCATGGGGAGCAGGAAGGAGCTCTGGGCCCTGGGCAGCATCTCAGCTTCCTGGACTTGAGGTTCCCAGCTGAAGCCACTGGAACTCGTTGGGCCTTGGTCTCACCACCCAAGGAGCCCCGTAAGGGAGAGAGGGGCTAAGACAGGGCAGATTGTGGGCATGGGGGCAGGAGTTGGTCTGTACCAGGCTCTGCATCTTCATCCAGCCACTTCCTGGCCCTCTCAGCCCAGCGACTTTGCCTCCCAGAACATTCAGGAAAGAACCATAGTTGTCCTCCTGCTGCTGAACAGCTGAGAGTCTTGGCAGATACACAGAGGAGTGGCAGCAGGGCTGGGAATTCCGCCAGCGGTGGACAGGACCAGAAATGCCTCCTTGGGGGGCCTGGTGAGAAGTTTATTACCAGGGTTCTAGGGATTCTGCCCAGGACTGGGAAGAAACCAAGTAATAAACTTCATCTTTGGCTGTCTCCTGGGCTGCCAAGGGCAGAGGGCAGAGTACAGGGAGATTTCTGCCATCACCGTAGCAACTGGCACCCCTGGGGGGATGTCGAGCCCTGTTGATGGACAGCCAGGGGCCCCAGCACTTTGGGAACAGAACAGAACTCTCTTTGTTGTCTGAAGGCCCCTCTTCCTCCAAAGGGCCCCACCCAAGTTGTACAAGAGGGGGTTCCCCACCCCCACCTTCTCACCATTCGGTGGGAGCAAGGTCTCAGGAAATCTGGTCTCTTAAGCCTCGGCTGCAGACAACTGCTGGTACTTGAATGCACACACAATCTTGCACCTGGCTCGTCGGGTAAGGGCAGGGCGTGACAGGCACTGCTTGCCCCTAAGTCACGGGTGGGCCAGCACCATCGAGATGGATTTCCTGCACTGACAACTGAGCTATGGCACCTCCTCTCTCCAGGCCTCAGGGGAGAAGGGCTGGGAAGTGCAGATGCTTTGGGCCTCTCCAGGAGCAGGGGAAGGCTGAAAAGCAGCGGGGAAACGCCCCCGTAAGAAACAGCAACTTGGGGAACGAGTAAACATTAAAGTGTAAAAACGCGAGGGCGCGGGCGTGGGCCTGGGTGTCCTGGCCAGCAGGACAAACCCGAAGGGCCTGGCTCAGGGCCTCTCCTGCTTGTCGCCTGACTGCCTGCCCTGGACTCTCTGCAGCCACCCGCGCCTCAGTGCCAAGATCTCCTGGCCGTACCAGTCGTGCAGGGTGGAGAAGCAGGAAGTCTCGGGGGACACAGGGCTCTGTCCCCTGCCAAGGAGGAGACCGGCAGGGCCCTGCAGCTCCCACTCGGCCAGGCCCCGTCCCACTGACCTGCTGCCCCCCTCCCCGACCAAGCCCAGAGGGCTGCAATCCCTGGAGAGGGAGTGGCCGTTCTCCAAGGCCTCTGAGCAGCCGTCAGGAGTCTGGGGTCTGTGGCGGGAGCTGACAGCTTTCCAGGAGGCGCGCCGGTGGCAGGCCAGGCTGTGGCGGGCATCACGCAGCTGGTTCTCCAGCTCTCGAACCACCAGGCGCATGTACCCAAAACTGGCCCTGGACAGCACCTTCAGCCAGGCCTCCTGGGCCGCGGGCCCGTCCGCTGCCAGCACGTGTGGGCGCACCCCAGGCGCGTCGAAGCGGATGGCAAAGGCGAACTCCTCGGGCACCGGCGCCTCGGCCAGCTCCACCGTGCAGCCCTCCAGCACCACCAGGCCCAGCGGGGTGCGGCTCTCTGGGCTCTCGAAGGAGAAGAGCAGGTTGCCCTTGAGGACAAACCAGCACCTTCGGCCGCTGCCACTGGGGGTGGAGGGAGTCCCTGGTCCCCCCCAGGTGCGCAAGAAGCCCCTGTGGTCGGCGGGGGAGTCGCTCAGTGCATAGTGGGTCACACTTCTCTCGTTCAGCTTCATGGCTCTCCTAGAACTGGGAGAGGGGAGAGGCGGTCAGCGGGGAGGACTGCTGGGAGGAGGGAGAGGCGTTCAGGGGGAGGACTGGTGGGAGGAGGGAGAGGCGGTCAGGGGGAGGACTGGTGGGAGGAGGGAGAGGAGGTCAGGGGGAGGACTCGTGGGAGGAGGGAGAGGAGGTCAGGGGGAGGACTGGTGGGAGGAGGGAGGGACGGTCAGGGGGAGGACTCGTGGGAGGAGGGAGAGGCGGTCAGGGGGAGGACTGGTGGGAGGAGGGAGAGGCGGTCAGGGGGAGGACTGGTGGGAGGAGGGAGAGGCGGTCAGGGGGAGGACTGGTGGGAGGAGGGAGAGGCGGTCAGGGGGAGGACTGGTGGGAGGAGGGAGAGGCAGTCGAGGTGGACTCGTGGGAGGAGGGAGAGGTGGTGAGGGAGGATTAGTGGGAGGTGGGAGAAGTGGTCGGGGGAGGACAGCTGGGAGCAGGGAGAGGCAGTTGGGGGGAGGACTTCTGGGATGAGGGAGAGGGGATGGGGAGGAACTGCTAGGAGGAGGGAGAGGGGGACGGGGGAGGACTGCTGGGAGGAGGGAGAGGCAGAGGCGGTTGCGGGAGAGGCCTTCTGGATCTGAGGGCAGCCTGCACCCCTGCCTAGTGGCCTCAGGTCTTTATCTCCCTGTGGGAAAGGGCTGGAAGAACCGGCCTCAGGGATGCAGATAAAGCTATGACTGTCACATTGAGGAGGGGTGGCAGGGTATTGAAGCACTTTTCGTCCAGGATGAGGGGTTGTTTTGGGACACACTCCGTGGTGCTCAGGGGTTACTCCGGGCTTTGTGCTCAGGGGGTCACTCCTGGGAGTGCTTGGAGAACCATATTTAGGGCAGGGATTCAAACCAGGGTTGTGGGTGCAGCTGTCTAACCCCGAGGACTAGGATCTCCAATCCAGCAACCCAAAGTCCCATCGTTTTCTGTTTTTGTTTTGGGGTCACATCCAGCAGTGCTCAGGCCTTACTCCTGGCTCTGTGCTCAATGAGCCAGTCCTGACAGTGCCTGGGGGGAAGCCACACACAGTGCTGGGGATTCACCCTGAGCAAGCATGCACCGCAAGCATCTTGATCCCTGTACTATACCTCAGGCGCTCAACTGCTTTTTTATTTTTTTTATTTATTTTTTGCTTTTTGGGGTCACACCCGGCGATGCACAGGGGTTACTCCTGGCTCTGCACTCAATAATCACTCCTGGCAGTGCTCAGGGGACCATATGGGATGCTGGGAATCGAACCCGGGTCGACCGCGTGCAAGGCAAACGCCCTACCCACTGTGCTATCTTTCCAGCCCCTCAACTGCTTTTTTAAAAATCCAATAAAAAGGCCAAGGCCATGCTGGGACCACTCTCCACACACTTGGATGAGCCTCACGCATAAAAGAACTGGCAGAGGAACCCAGGTGTGTGGGACCCGGGGCTGAGATCTCCAAGCCTACACGGTTTGGGACTGGACCTGCCAGTAACTAGACAATTACACCCACCAACTGCCGTGTAACTCCAACAACGGCCAGGATCCAGAGATTATCACACTCAGCTCCCGGAAGCTTATCATCTTATCATCTCATTCCTACTTTGGACAAGCTGGCAGGCTACCAAATGTAACCTGCCCACACGGCAGAGTCTGGCAAACTCCCCGTGGTATACCCAATATGCCAAATACCAGTAACAATGATGGGTCTCATTCTCCTAACCCTGAAAAAGCCTTGAATATGGCACTTTAAAAAAAAAAATCTGGGGCTGGAGCGATAGCACAGCGGGTAGGGCGTTTGCCTTGCACGCGGCTGACCCGGGTTCAATTCCCAGCATCCCATATGGTCCCCTGAGCACCGCCAGGAGCAATTCCTGAGTGCATGAGCCAGGAGTAACCCCTGAGCATTGCCGGGTGTGACCCAAAAGGCAAAAAAAAAATCTCAGGGCTAGGACGAAGAAGACGTTACTGGCACCTGCTCGAGGCAATCGACGAACAACAGGGTGGTCCTGATTGTGATGAATAAAAAGGGGTCAGAAGAACTAAAATAGACCCCACTTCTCCCCCCCCCCCAATAAAAAAGCTATGTGAATTTAGCTCATTCCCTAATCAGAGGCCCCCTCAGTTCCTGCCCTGAGGCCCTCCGGGGCCATAGCTGTCACCTGCAGCTACCCTGCCATCTGTCAGTGGCACAGTTATGCTTTAGTGAGAGCCTGTAGCCTTCAGGAGAGACTGGGGGTGATGGCTGTAATTGTCACCTTCCTCCTCATGAAGCTCCAAGGATCAAAAGTGGCACCTGATCCGAGGGTCCTGACTCAGGAACCCCCAAGGCCCAGGTCACCCAGCCAGGGAGGGAGAAGAGCCTGGCTTCCTGATTCCCCCACACCGCCCGGGACAAAACCGAGCAGTGACCCACTTACCAGCAGACCTCACTGGTGTTGGGCCTCTCTGGTCCGGATGCTCAGCTCAGCCCTGGGAGTGCAGTGCCCGAGCACCTGCAAAACAGTTGCCAAGGCCCCTCAGTGATGAGGACCCCCCTCAGCCAGTGAAACCACCTCCTTCTGCCTTCTGAGCACTGAGGGCCCCCACCAAGGCCCACCCAGGAGAGCTGTGCATGAGCAATTGCACAATCGGGACACACACACACACACACACACACACACACACACACACACACTGGCTTGCATCTCCTTATAATTTATAGCTTCTGATATGATCCCGAATATCACACACACACACACACACACACACACACACACACGCTGGCGGCAGCTCCTTACAGTTTTATGGCTTCTGGTATGACCCCGAATATCCTGCCTCCTGCAAGGCTCAGGAAGCATTTGCTTGGTTTGAGACCACACCCAGTGATGCTCAGGGGTGATGCTCAGGGGTTACTCCTGGTTCAGGAATGACCCCACAGCTGCTGGGGGACCATACAGGGTGCCCAGGGATGGAGGGGGGTTGATAAGTGTACTATCTCTCAGCTCAGCAAGCGTCTGTTGTATCACCTGGAGCTTCCAGATGGGCAAAACTGTGACCCCGCAGCTCGACTGAGCCAATGTTCTGGAAAGGAGACACCCCGGGAACAAACTTTTTAAATTTTTTTGTTTTTGGTCACACCCGGCATTGCACAGGGGTTCCTCCTGGCTCATGCACTCAGGAATGACTCCTGGCGGTGCTTGGGGGACCCTATGAGATATGCTGGGAATCGAACCCGGGTCTGCCGCGTGCAAGGCAAATGCCTTCCCCGCTGTGCTATCGCTCCAGCCCACGGGAACAAATTTCATAATAAATTTAGGGGTCGTTCTAGGCCGGGGCGGGTGTCCAGAAGGAGGTGGGCGGCAGCTGAGAGGAAGGGGGGAATCATTAAACGTTTGCACCAGGGTCTCCGCCAGCCCCGGGGTGCGAAGCTGCTGCTCCAGGGGTTCCCGGATTCTCTGGCTGCAGGGGCGAAGGAGCGGGGCTGGCCCGAGCTGGAAGCCCCCGCGGCTCCGGACCCCTGCTCGCTGCAGCCCCGAAGCAGGGGGCGCCTCGGTTTCCCGGAGCTGGCACCGCAGCTGCCACGTCCCCGCCAGCCACGCCCTCCGGGGGCCGCCTCCTCCCGGAGCCCGCCGGGCGGCCCTCACCTCCCCGCGGGCGCGCGCGGGGCCCGCGGGGCCAATCCCGGCTCGGGACCCCCGAGCTCGGCCGCTGCCCGGGACCCCGCCGCGAGCGCCCCCGCCGCTCCCCGCCCGGGACTCACCAGGCCTCGGGTCCATGCATGAAACCTCCCCCTGGATCCTCGCGGGCGGGAAACTGAGGCCCGAGAAGTAGCCGGCACGCTCCTGGCCCCAGAGCTGGGCAGGCGCGGGCAGCCTCGAACCCGGGGCCGGCGGCCCGAGGACTCCGCGGCCTCCCGATCGCCCCTCCGGCGCCCCGCTCCCCCGCCCGGCCGGCCCACTTCTCCCGCACAGCCAAACCCAAACCCGGGGCGGCTCCGGCGCCTCCTCTGGGCGGGCCCCCGGCCTGCTGCGAGGCCACCCGCGCTGCCCAGCCGCGCGATAAGACCCCCCAGCCCCGCTCTGCGGTGACCCGTTTCCGCCTCTGCCCGCCAGGGGCCTGCAAGTCCTCCTTGGACCCCCAATTTGACCTGGTTCCGCTGCAGCTGGTCGCTGGGGCGCAGGGGCAAACAGCCTGGAACCCCCCGCCCCCAGCTCAGAACCAAACTGGTGTCCCCCTCAAAGCTCGCCGAGGCTGCAACCGGGAAACCCCTTCCAGCTTACCTGGACCGCTGGGTGGCCAGGCCTCCGGCCGCCTTCCCATCCTCACACCCTGGAGAGTCTCCGTCTCAGCCTGGACACTTATTTTCTCCATGGCACTAACCGTCCCCAAATTCCTGTTTCCTGCCTAGGGACCGGGTCTCAAGTTTATTCCATTCCTTCTGGAAGCCCCTCCAGGTGTCGAAGGCAGGCACTGGAAACACCAGGTCAGGGGTTAGGGGCGGGGTGGGGAATTGTCTGCAGGTAAAGGGTCAGGAGGCTTCCCTGAGGAGGGACACATGCAAAAAAAAAAAAAGAGGAAGAAACTGGGTCAGAAAGAGAGAATTCAGAGGGGAGGATGCTTGCCTTGCATCCAGGGGACCCAGGTTCAACCCCAGCACCACATATGGTCTCCCTCTGAACCTCACCAGGAGTGATCCTTGAACTCAGAGCCAGGAGTAAACAACTGGGTGTGGCCCCCAAACCAACCCATCAACCAAATCAAAACTGGAAGGCACGGAGTCCTGCCAAAACCTGAAGGATGAGCATTCCAGCAGGGAGGACAGGCCGCAAGTGCAAAGGCCCAGAGGCACAAAGCTGAAAAGGGGTGCAGGGGAGTGAAGGGAAGGGAGCAGGAAGGGATTGGGTCAGACAGTTGAGGGGTGGAGTTGGAACTGGTAACCCCACGAAGAATTCTGACTGCAGGGAGGATGAACAGCCACCCCAGGGGGGGTCCATGGAGGGGTGGCCCCGGGCTAGGGTTTCCCCATTTGCTTGGCACATTGGTTGGTGGTGGGGGATGCTGGGGGCACCCGCGAGAAATTTGAAAGCTCTATGAATGAACGATACAAACGGAAGCCCCCACTCGCTTCTCCCCAACAGGCTGGGGGGCGGGGGGGGGGAGGGAGAGTGCAGGGCGGGTTCAGAAGCCCCCAGCTGACCCCCTCCGCCAAAAAGGGGGCAGGGGCTGGGTCCGGGCCCAGCAGGGAGGGATGCTAAGGTGCGAGCACTGAAGTTCCCAGTGACTCCATCAGCGCTCGACGAAGGAAAGAGGGGCGGGAGGGAGACAGAGAGGCGGCGGGGGTACCCGGCTGGGGGGCGTCTGTTCCCCGCTGTCCCCTGCGCGGCGCCCCTTCCTCTTCCGTTCCTCCCCAGCAGCTTACTACTTCGGGGCCTCGGCTCATTTCTTCCTAACCAAGGGCCCCCGCCGCAATTCACGCCACCGTGAGAGGCCGAACCCCGCGGAAGGGGCCAGGATGAAGCCCCTTGGGGGGGGTCCCCAGGAGCCGGTTCCGCGCGCGCACGCGCACCCCCGCCTCGGGCAGCGCGCGGGGTGGGCGGGGCCCGGCGCCGGCGCGGGGGCGGGGCTTTGTTGGGGACGTTCTGATAGGCTCGCGGGCAGGGGCGGGGCGTCTCCGGGCCACGCCCCCAGAACACCAGGTCGAGCCCCACGATTGCCGCGCGCGCACTGTGGCCCCCCGACGCTGGCACGGGCGGCGGTTCGGAGCGGTGAGAGTCGCAGGCGGAGGCGGGGGGCTCCCGGGAACGGAGGGGAGGGTCCCCGCGCCGACAGAGCCAGGCGCGGTGGGAGTCGGGAACCCGGCCCCGGCCCACTCCTTTCCAGCTGGTCGCTGCCTGCTCCCCACCCCCGACCCCCCGGCGGGGTGCAGGGCCACCCATGGGTGCTGGGGCTCCCGGCCCTGCAGAGATGTGCGGGACAACGGCTCCTGGCTGAATATTCCTTAAGCCAGAAAGGATTCGAAAACGGGAAGTGGCGACTGGGGGAGGCGGGTGGCCACGGTGGGGCGGCCTCGTGCGCTCCACGCCCAGGGAAGGGCAGCGGGGCCCCTAGTGACACCCCACCCCGTACTTTTCTAACTGTTTTAGCTTCCAAAGTCCAGCACATTCAAGTGCCCAAAGCGGAGCAGGTCAGGTGCTGAGCCGCGGGGTCCAGAGCAATGCTGCTGAAGAAAGGTACCTGCCCGGTGCTGGGGACAGGACACTCGGGGATGGGACAGCACTCGGGGATGGGACACCACCTGGGGATGGTGCTCCGGGGCGTCCCTGGGGGCTGGTTCCTCTCGCTCTTTTCTTGGAATTGGAAAGGGGAAGGAAAAGGAAGGAGATCCCGCCCACCTCGGAATCAGTTTCCCCCAAAGAAACCTCCCCCTACCCCTCCAGACCCCAAAGGACAGAGACCGCATCTTCTGTGACAGCCACATAAAGTCCCCCGCAGGAATTCCATCAATTCCATCTCACGGGGAAAGAAGCGGAGGCTGGCAGGGAAAGCGCTCTGGCAGGAAAGGCAGGGTTCCAGCCTGCTGATGGCTTAAACCCTTCCGAGGCCTCTTGGAGGTTGGGAGGGGTGCCGGTCTGAGCCCCAGCAGAGAGAGCCCAGGGTGAAGACCCCAAGGGGTCCTGTTCCCCCACAGTGCCAGGTTCTAAATGAGCAGGATGGAGCGCTGAGCAGGGGTATGGGAAGGATTTCATCTCAGATGTTCTTTTTTTGTGAGTTCCCACACTGCTGCGGCCACACCAAGTGGGGGCCCCCGGGCCCCAAGCCCATTGCCCTGCCCCTAGACATCCCCAGGCCCCATCCCCTTTTTCCACAGAAACCAGAAGTTGAAATGCCAGATTCAGTCTCTAGCCCAGGGATCTGGTTCCCCGCATGATGCTTGGGGGTGGGGGTGGGGGAGCCATGAAGGCCCTCACGATTCCCCCCCCCCCCCCGCCCTCTTTGCAGTGCTCCTGCTGACCCTGGTGGCCCAGGTGCAGATGCTGGAGAATGGGCTCCTGAGGCAGCCACCCATGGGCTGGCTGGCCTGGGAGCGTTTCCGCTGCAACACAGACTGTGATAAGGACCCCAAGAACTGCATCAGGTGAGGACAGCACGCACCAGGCCTGCGATGGGAGCGGGAGGAGGAGGATCAGAGAAGAGAAGAAGGCGGCAGGCCAGGGTACCGGGACTGTGGGGACGGCGTCTGCCCTGCAGGCAGCCAACCAGGGTTCTATCACAGGCATCTCCTATGGTCCCCTGAGCTCTGCCAGGAGTGATCCCTGAGGGCAGGGCCAGGAGTAATAAGCCCTGAGCAGTCCCCCCCTTAACTCACCCCTGCTCTCCAAGGACAGCCAGCAGCCAGAGGGGACTTTGAGATAACCTGGTGCTGCCTCAGGCCCTGGTTGCTTAGAGTGAGTTCATCTAACCCTGAGGCGATGTGTGTTCAACCCCGCCCCTGAGGTCATCTAAAGGAGATCACTGCAAGGTGGTCCCCTGACCAGGGTAACCCCACCCCCTCCCCACTTCTTTGTCCTGCTTCTGGCCCCGTGACATAGCCTTGGTGTCTTCACCTTGGTTGATAATAAACTCAGATTCACCTTTTGAACATCGGAGGTATCTGCAGAGCTTGTGGACAGGGAGGTCAGGGTGGGGGAGGGGGAGGGCCTTGTCCACTGAGCTGCTCCTCCTTCCCCGTGGCCAGCGAGCGGCTCTTCATGGAGATGGCTGACCGGCTGGCACAAGATGGATGGCGGGACCTGGGCTACGTGTACCTCAACATTGATGACTGCTGGATTGGCGGGCGCGACTCCACGGGTCGCCTCATACCCGATCAGAAGCGTTTCCCCAATGGCATTGCCTTCCTGGCTGACTATGTGAGCCCCGGGGCCCACTCCAGCCCGGGGCCTGGCCCCTCCTTCCACCCTGTGAAGCTCAGCCTGATGGGAGGAAAAGTGGATGAATTTATTAGTTTGGGTTCATGAAGGGGCTGGGGGTTCTCTGCCTGAAAGGAAGTGGTTTTTTGGGTTTGTTTTGTTTTGTTTTGTTTTGTTTGCTTTTTGCTTTTTTTGGGTCACACCCAGCAATGTTCAGGGGTTACTCCTGGCCTTGCACTCAAGAATTACTCCTGGCGGTCCTTGGGGGACCCTATGGGATGCTGGCAATCGAACCCGGGTCGGCTGTGTGCAAGGCAAACGCCCTCCCTGCTGTACTATTGCTCCGGCCCCCAAGAGGCAGTTCTTTTGTTTGCTTGTTTTTCTGGCTCCCAAGTAGTGCTCAGAGGGCCCCTGGGCCACTCCCTGCAGTACTTAGCTCTGACTAGGCCCAGCAGTGGTGGCGACCACCCGCGCCATCCAAGTGGTGGCAGACATAGAACTGAGAACAACTGCATGCCAGGCATGAGCCCGGCCAGGAGGCAGTTCTCGAGGTGACAGCAGAGCGAGTGCTGACCTTTCATGTCCCAGGGATGGCAGGGGAAAGCCCTGGAGGCCAACCTGTGGGGTGAGGTTTGTGTTGGAGGAGGGGTAGGACCTTAGGTGGACAGGGCAGCTCAGGGCCATATCCGAGGACCCCTGCGTGTAGGACCCACTAGGGAGGGGGGGTTGGAGGGTTTAAAGGGGCCCGGTCACGTGCCCCTCCGGACTCCCCACGGGTCCTGCCTGAGTGTCCTCTGCCCTCCCCTACACAGGCTCACTCCCTGGGCCTGAAGCTGGGCATCTATGAGGATTTGGGCAACTTCACCTGCATGGGCTACCCGGGCACCACTCTCGACAAGGTGGTCCAGGACGCCCAGACGTTCGCCGAGTGGAAGGTGGACATGCTGAAACTGGACGGCTGCTTCTCAACTGCCGAGGAGCGGGCCCAGGGTGCGTCTGGGGAGGGGGCAGAGGGCAGCAGGGCGGACGGGTGCCGGCTGGCAGGGCTCTGTTTGACTCCGGGAGGGTCGGTTTCCACCTCCCCTAACCGGTGACTGAGTGACTCCTAGATCCCCTATCAGTATGGGTTGGGATTCAGGAAGTGTTTGTGGCAACAATTTTTGGCGGGGGGGTGGGGCACACCTGGCAAGGCTCAGGGGTTCCTCCTGGCTCTGCATTCAGGGATCACTCCTAGCAGTGCTCGAGGGACCATGTGGGATGCCGGGTATCGAACCCGGGTCAGCTGCGAGCAAAGCAAACGCCCACCCCGCTGTGCGATCGCTCCAGCCCCTGCAACCCTCTTTGGAACCTCCGTTTCCTCACATTTGAGGGAGGTTTTGGCTGAGACCCCAGATTTCCTCCAGGATCTCCTTGATCCTGAAGTGTGAGGAGGGATTGTACTTCTCTAGGGTACCCCAAGATGTCGGCTGCCCTGAATGCCACCGGCCGCCCCATCGCCTTCTCCTGCAGTTGGCCCGCCTATGAAGGGGGCCTCCCCCCGAAGGTGAGCGCGTGGCTCCCCGACGCCCCCTCTCTTCCTGTGCAGCCAGAGAACGCGGGCGGAGAGTGGGGCTCTGGCTGAGAGAACGGGGGGTGGGTATGTAGTGGGGAGCGCCGTGGAAACCCCAGCTTGCCGGAACTGAGCCTCTCTCAAGGCCTGGATCCTCTCGAGCCCCCCTTCCCCTTCCCCCACTCCCCCGGCTGCGTCCTGTGCAGGCCCCAGGGCCCAGTGTGACAGGCGGACTCTGGCCTGCAGGTGGACTACAAACAGCTGGCAAGCATCTGTAACCTCTGGCGCAACTACATAGACATTCAAGACTCGTGGAGCAGCATGCTGTCTATCCTGGACTGGTTCATGGCCCACCAGGACATCCTACAGCCCGTGGCAGGCCCAGGGCACTGGAACGACCCAGACATGGTAGGAATAAGGGGTGCCAGGTGTCACGGGCCTGTCCCCCAGCACCCTGTGCTCCGGGACACTCAGCACGGGGGGCCCACATTGGGTGCAGCTTGGACCTATTTCTTCCGTTCGGTTCCCAGAGCCCCCGCCCTGCCCGTCGGAGTTCTTGGGGGCCCCTTATTGTTGGCCGTCTGCTCCTTAGCCGTGCTGTTGGGCACCACGGGATTGAACTTGGGGTCTTCTCCCATTGAGCTCCATCCTGCACCTCTGTTGGTCCTTGCGACCCAAGAACTATCTGCTGTGACTTTCCTATGGGAAGGGCCACACCCAGGGGTTCCCAGAGCATGGGGGACCACACAGGGCGCTGGAGACTGAACCTGGGTTGGCTGTGGCTCCGGGCCACTGCTGTGACTTTTTTTTTTTTTTTTTTTTTTGCTTTTTGGGTCACACCCAGCGATGCACAGGGGTTACTCCTGGCTCTGCACTCAGGAATTACTCCTGGTAATGCTTGGGGTACCCTATGAGATGCTGGAATTGAACCCGGGTTGGCCTTGTGCAAGGTAAATGCCCTACCCATGGTCCTGCGGCTGTGGTCAGTGGTTGGCGTCGGGAGCACAGACTGTCCAGCTCTGGTTTGCTGCATTCCTGTCCCCGTCATTGTCACCCCGGCGGTGGTCAGGCCTTACTCCTAGGGATCATCCCTGGTGGTGCTCAGGTTTTGAACCCACATCAGCCACATGCAAGGCAAGCCCCCGCTATACTGCAAGAAATATAAAAAACTAAGCATGAAATATAAGAAATATAAAAGGTAAGTAAGGGACTGGAGCAGTAGCACAGCAGGTAGGGCCTTGCACGCAGCTGACCCGGGTTCAATTCTCAGCGTCCTATATGGTTCCCCAAGCACCACCAGGAGTAATTCCTGAGTGCATGAGCCAGGTGTGAACCCAAAAAGGAAAAAAAAAAAGTTATTTCTCACTTATTTCTTTTGGTGGGGAGGGCAGTTTGTGCCGTACCCAGACATGCTCAGGAGTGACCCCTGGCAGTGCTCGAAGGACCAGGCCAAAAGTGAGTGCCTATGGATCGAGCCAAACCATTGTCGGCAGCCTAGCATTGCAAGGCCCTTAGCCCGGCGCTACCTGCCCGTCATTCTCCTGTGGAGGCCTTTGGCCGCAGGTCCCATTGGATCTTCCAAACAGGGGACAGGGTTGGAGCCAGTGATCAGCCACCCCCGCTTCTCGATGAAAGCAGTGCCCGGGGGACCGGAGCTCAGTGGTTGAGCTTGTCCCTCTGTGAGCTCCTGCCTTCTTCTGTTACTCCTGAAACGTGACTGAAACGGGCTCTGGCGGAAAGTGACTCGGTTCACTCGGTGGGCCCCCGGGCGTGGTGCTGACAGAGCATCCCCCTGCGCCTTTCCCCTCTCCTCTCACCTCTGCTGCCAGCTGGTCCGCCCACCCTGCGGGGGTGACGAGAGAGTCGCAGCGGCCTCTCCTCTGCCCGCAGCTGCTCATCGGTAACTTCGGCCTGAGCTTCGAGCAGGCGCGCGCCCAGATGGCCTTGTGGACCATCCTGGCGGCCCCGCTCTTCATGTCCACGGACCTGCGCACCATCAGCCCCCAGAACGTGGACATTCTGCAGAACGCGCTCATGATCAAGATCAACCAGGACCCCCGAGGCATCCAGGGGCGCAGAATTATCCAGGTAACAAGGGAGACACTGATGCATCAGGCCCCCTGGGAACAGCACGGCGGGTGCCGGGGTGCTGAGCTGTGGGTTCCGCCCAGCTGTCCACTTCCCCCTTGGTGGGAAGAGCAGGGCCAGAGCAGGCCAGCGCCTGGGGTTTGGGGACTGGGGCTACGCAGAGGCCAAGAAGCCAGTCCCTTTTGTGCGCTGGGTACCCCGGACGATACCCCTCAGGAGGGAGGGGCTCCTCCTGCACCCCCAGGGAGCAAACCGAGACGGGAATTTTTTTTTTTTTTTGGCTTTTTGGGTCATGCGTATGATGCTCAGGGGTTACTCCTGGCTCTGCACCCAGGAATCACTCCTGACGGTGCTTGGGGGACCGTATGGGATGCTGGGGGTCGAACCTAGGTCGGCCGCCTGCAAGGCAAACGCCCTCCCTGCTGGACTATGGCTTAGGCCCCATCCCACTCCAGGTTCTGTGTGATGTGAAGGGAAGGGGCATTCCCAGCACTCCAGGGAGAGCTGGGGAGGGGGCGGGGAGGAGCCCAGCGAGTTGCCACCTTCTGTGCCCAGGACCCGGACCACATAGAGGTGTTCCTGCGGCCCCTGGTGAACCGGACCTTCGCCGTAGTGTTCTTCAGCCGCCGAACGGACATGCCATACCGCTACCACATCTCCCTGGACCGGCTGATCTCCAACAACTCCACGGTGTATGAGGTGAGTGTGAGCGGAGGATGTGCGGCTGGGGTGGTCCTCACACCCCCACAGCTGCCCCGAGCCCCCCAGGGCAGGGGCTGGCACTGTCCACTGCCCTGGGCCTTGCAGGCTACGCACCCTGAGCTCTGGGTGTGGTGTAAGCCAGGCACTGCCCCTCGCTGCGGGTTCACCCTCGCCACCCTCTTTCTCTGGACCCCCGGCCCGCATCTGTGGGGCAGCGGTGGGGAGTCGGGGCCAGGCCTCCCTCATCACCCCGCCGCCTCTACAGGCCCAGGATGTCTACACGGGTGCGATCATCAGCAACCTTAAGCACACCACCAACGTCACCGTCACCATCAACCCTTCAGGGGTGGTCATGTGGTACCTGTACCCCACCCGGAAGCTGGGGCGGACCCATCACTGAGGAGCTGGACGTGTGACAGGCTGCCGCAGCACGGACTGGGCCTGGACTGGGCTGCCACCTCGAGCGCCGAGGACCTAGCCGGCCAGCTGGGCATCCCACCACCCAGCGACCCCATCAGACCCCCACATGCAACCGCCAACCTCGAGGCCAGGGGCCACCCGGCCCCTGCCCAAGCGTGTGTCCTCATGGAAATGCAAGGTGCCCCATGGCCTCTGCTCGGTCTTGGCGACACCTGGACCAGCCTGCAGGACCCCTGAGGCACAGTGACAGAGCCCTCGGAACTTCCGCTGCCAACCCGGTGCTCACTGTGAAGTCAGGATTCGGAACCGGTCTTGCCAGGAGGGGAGATGGAAGCGGGTCGGGGTTAGGAAGTGGGTTTTCCTGAAGGGAGAGGCCCTGCAGCAGGCTGACCCTGCGGGGACGGGGAGGTGTCCAGGGTTCCCTCAGGTCACCAATAAAGCCATATTCAGTCAAGTCTTTGTCCTGGGGATAGAAGCTCCCCTGCTCCCCTCGGATGCCGGTTTCCCCCCCAGTTCCCCACCAAGAGATGGGGACCATCTCCCCACACCGAAAATGCTCACGGCCTCCCGCTGGGGTGCCCGCCCCGCTCTGCCAGCAGCAGCCGGGAGGGGTGAGGGGGCTAGGCCTTGTCTGCAGGCCTTGCATCCGCTCCAGGCGTGTCTTTGTCCCCAGGCCCCGAGGCTAGTACCTTCACTTCCCTTCACCTGGTGACCCTAGGCCCTCTGTCCAGCCTGGCCTCCTCCTCCCAGGGGTGTCCGGGAATAGCAGCAGCTTGAGTGCCTGTGGGAAGCCCCACACGTCAGAGGATAGAGCCAGCACTGCCGCAGCGAGGAAGGGCAGGGGAAGATGGGAGCAAGCTTCGTGGGATTTTTTTTGCTTTTTGGGTCACACCCGGCGATGCACAGGGCTTATTCCTGGTTCTGCACTCAGAAATTACTCCTGGTGGTGCTCGGGGGACCATATGGGATGCTGGGAATAGAACTGGGGTCGGCCATGTACAAGGCAAATGCCCTCCCCACTCTACTATCACTCTAGCCCCTTCACGTTGTTTTAACCACCTGCTGCCAACCTTTTATGAACTTGTTTTTTTTTTTTGGATCCTATCCAGTGATACTCAGGGGTTCCTCCTGGCTCTACATTCAGGAATTAAGTCCTGGCAGTGCTCAGGGGACCTATATGGGATGCTGGGGATCGAACCTAGGTTGGCCACATGCAAGGCAAATGCCCTCCCCGCTGTACTATCACTCTGGCCCAAATTATTTTATTTTAAAATGTATTTGAGAGGTGTTACAGATAGTACTGTGAGGAAGGCTCGCTCCTATGTGCAGCCGACCCAGGCTTGATCCCCAGCACCCCATCACGGTCTCCCAGGCCCCTCTAGGAGTGATCCCCGAGTTCAGAGCCAGGAGTAAGCCCTGAGAACTGCCAGGTGCGGTTCCCCAAAAAGTAAACTTACGGGAGTGTTCAGGAAGGCCTCTGCGCCCCACATGTGCACTGCCCTTGCTCTCTACCACCAAGCTGCAGGCTCCCCAAATGATGGGCAACTTGATCTGTTAGAGGTGGCACTCCCGGTGGTGCTCAGCGGTCCTGGGTCACTCCTGACAGTGCCTGTGGGGACCAGTGTCGTGCCAGAGATTGAACCCAGGGTTGAGCAATGCCTTGCACGTGCTCTGCCACCTAAGCCCTATCCCGAGTCTTGATCAGCTATTTTAAATATGTTCAGAGCTAAAGAAAAAAAAAAGTAACGTCAAAAATACCAAAGAAGGGCCTGAGAGATCGTTCAAATGGCAGAGGACACGCCAAGCATGCGTAAGGCCCTGAGTTTGATCCCTAACACTGCATGGTCCCCTGAGCCCCTCCAGGTGTGTCCCTGGTCAACCCCAAATATCACAGGGCCAAGGACACCTAAGAAAATCAAAATGGGGCTGGAGGGGCTGGAGCGATAGCACAGCAGGGAGGGCGTTTGCCTTGCATGCGGCCGACCTGGGTTTGATTCCCAGCATCCCATATGGTCCCCTGAGCACCGCCAGGAGTAACCCCTGTGCATCGCCAGGTGTGACCCAAAAAAGCAAAAAAAAAATCCAAAAAAAATGGGGCTGGAGTGATAGCATAGCAGGTACGGTGTTTGCCTTGAACGTGGCCAACCCAGGTTCGATTCCCAGCATCCCGTATGGTCCCCTGAGCACCTCCAGGGGTAATTCCTGAGTGCAGAGCCAGGAGTAACCCCTGTAACCCCCCCCCAAAAAAAAATCAAAATGGGGCCAAAGAGCAAGTACAGCAGGTAGGGTGTTTGCTCGCATGTGGCTGACCCGGGTTTGATCCCTGGCATGGCATAACGTCCCCTGAGCACTGTCAGGAGTAAACCCCTGAGTATACTGGATGTGGCCCCCCTAAAAAGAAAACCAAAAACAAGAAAATAAAAGAAGCCATAAGAATGACATCAAGTAGATCAGTCAAGGGACAGGGATTATCGAAGAGGAAAAGGGGCGTCTGGGAGCTGAACCGTATAGTTACAGAACAGCGTTTTCCTGAGGGCTCAGCGGCTATTCTAAGGGATGAACCTGGAGCTGGACCAGAGGGAAGCAGAAGGGGTGAGCGTGAGTGAGCCCTCGTGGTGTCAGGATGTGAGGAGAGATTTTTGGGTGCACCGGTGAGGGGACCCCATATCCTCCAGCAATCAACAGCTTGACACCCCCGCGTGGAGCTGAACCCTCAGAAGTGCCCGTCAGCAAATCCTGCAGATCAGGTGCCGTGTGGCCATGGCAGCACCCAGGTGGGACGGCACATCCTCACAGTGCCAGCTTGCCCTTGCTACACAGTGACTGGGTTCTGCAGTGCAGGATGGCACGTCCTGTGTGCCAAGCCCCAGGGGCTTCCACTGTGAGGCGGAAGCCCACATGGTCGTGACTGAATGCGGAGGTTGCGAACATGGTCACAGACAAAAGGTTCTGAAGGAGCGACACTGAAAATCTGTGAGCTGCACCAGGAACTCCCGAGGTGTTTACGGGAGTTCATCTGGGTTCAATTTCTCAGATGAAAAGGGACCAAAGAGGGAAAGTTTGGGAAGGTGTGTTCTAAAGTATGCCCAGACCTACTGCCACAGGAAGGGGGGAGGGAGGGAGGAAGGGAGAGAGAAAAGGAGAAGGGAGGAAGGGAGGAGGTGATGGGAGGGAGAGGGGAGAAGGGAGGAAGAGTAGGAAAGAAGGGAGGGAGGGTGGGAGGAAGGAGGGAGGTGAGGCTGGAGCAATAGAACAGTGGGAAGGGCATTTGATTCCCAGCATCCCATAGGGTCTCCCGAGCACCGCCAGGAGTAATTCCTGAGTGCAGAGCCAGGAGTAACCCCTGTGCATCACCGGGTATGACCCAAAAAGCAAAAAAAATTTAAAAATAATAAGTGAGGGCAGGGCAGGGTTGATGACAGTATCAAGTTCACATTTCACCCGCTGATACGCCAGACCCAGTCACTAAACGTGTCCCCTTCCACACCAGTCCCCCTCTTGCTGACCTGTCACGCCAGAGGGAGCGTGTGAGATGGGGAAAGCTGACCACAAGGGGCAGCTGCTGGGCGAGGCGATTGGCCGTGACTGGGACTCACCTGAGTGGCCCTTTGCCCCCACTCACCTCTTAGAATGTGCATGTCACCAGCCTTCCCCCTGCACCCCAGAAGTTGCCCAAGGACATTATCTCTGAGATAAAACATATTGTTCAGACAATCTGTACCAGGCGCATGACCCGGGAAGGGCCTCGACCGAAGCTTTTATGGTTTGGAGGGCCACGCAGACCCGTGAAAGCTAGTGAGTCCCCTGGGAAGGTCAGCCCTTTGCCTTCGTGTCCCCTGGCTCCTGATGCAGTCCGGTCAGCATGACACCTAGAAGGCTCCTGCGGTGAATATTCAGCCTTTAATGCTCTCCCTTGCACGCAGCACGCCCAGGTTTTAATTCTAGGCACCGAGTATGGTCCCCAGCTCTACCAGGAGTGAGCCCAGAGCACACGACCAGGAACAGACCCCAGGCACTGTGGGTATAGACCCCCAACCTCCCTCAATGAAAGACAAGCGAGTCCTTCCATGACCTGGGTGAAGCTACTACATTAATGTGATCACAAAAAAGACAAGACTGTTGATTCTGGGTATCTAAAAACAGTCAATTCCAGAGAAAGAGCGAGAGCTGTGGTTGCCAGGAGTTCGGGCACAGGGAAATGGGGAGCTGCTTAGTGGCTATGGTCTGAGCTTTGCAAAATAAATTATTTCTAGAGGTTCACTGCATAAGAATGAATAGAGTTAACGCTACTGAAGGCGATGCCCGGAAATGCTCCATCAGGCTGGAGAAACAGACAGCACCGGTGTCAAGCACCTGCCTTGCATCCCCAGCAACTCACATGGTCCTGAGCACTGCCACGAGTGATCCCTGAGCACAGAGCCAGGAGTAAGCCCTGAGCACATCCCGGTGTGGCCTCCAAATGATAACAAAAATGCTAAGATAAAGTTTGTGTTTTTCACATTTAAAACTACACACCCCCCTGGGGCTGGAGAGATAGCACAGCGGGTAGGGCGTTTGCCTTGCACGTGGGCGACCCAGATTCGATTCCCAGCATCCCATATGGTCCCCGAGCACCACCAGGAGTAATTCCTGAGTGCAGAGCCAGGAGTAACCCCTGTGCATCACCGGGTGTGACCTTCCACAAAAAAAGCAGAAAAATAAAAATAAAAACATACCCCCGAGCCTAAACCAGATAGTATCCCATCATTTTATTTGGGGGGCCCAGTCAGTTTCCCACCTGGCCTGAAAGGAGTCCTCGCAGGCAGAAACATTCGCACAAGCGAGCAAATTGCCCACAGGACCACCAAAACCCTGGGTAGACATGACCTTCGTCGGGAGCGAGGATTCTCTTTTTCTTCTCTCCCTTTTGCTCTCTCTCCCCTTCTCCTCTCTCTCCACCCCTCAGGATTGGGTCCAAAAAAGCTCAAGCCAAAAGTTTCCATACTCACTGGTGGCCAGGCCCAGGGAGACGGACCCTCAGAGCGGGCCAGTGGGGAGAAGGCAGCCCAGGACTGGCTCCATCCCAGAGGTGGATGGGGGTCAACGTGGACAGCTGCAAAGTGTCCATCTCTGGGACAGTCTGGCCACTCATGCACAGGGCTGGCACAGTGCAGCCCCGTGAATCCCTGGACGGAAACTGAAGCCTGGGGCACTCAGACACCTCAACATTCAGGGTGGGCTCAGGCGGAGGCTTGGTCCTAAGGCAGCCAATGTTCCCCTGGGCTCTGCTGCAGAAGGAAGATGAGGACGGCACCCACCGCCGTGGGGATGGTGCAGAGTGCATGAGGACGTGCTAGC